TGCACTGGAAGGCAGCCTTAGCCACTGGACCACTGCAGAACTCCCAAGAATTCTGCACTTTTAGAGCGGAGTTTTAGAGGCACTCTCGGGGGCAGAATGCCCGGGTTCACAGCCTGACTACCACTCAACAGCAATGAGTCCTGGGACGAATGCTCACCTCTCTCGGTTTGTTTTCTCATCTGTAAAAGGTGGCTGAGGGTACCTACCTCATAAGGTCATTATAAGTATTAAAGAAGGTAATATATAGTAAGTGACATAAACAAAGAGCTACTTAACTGTTAATAAAAGAAATCTAAATTTCCCACATTGCTGGGTGCACAGTGACGTGGAAAGGCCTGGGAGGCTCTGCTCAATGGAATTCACAGCTTCAACTATACCTCCGAACAATGAAAGGGTTTTTTTAAAGAATGATAAACCTGTAAAGCATAGTAGGCCTCATAAAGTATGATGCCACCTGAGCACTTCCTTTCACCTCATTAAAAAAAAAAAAAATCTGGTGACTTCCCTGGTCATCCCCATGGCTAAGACTCTGTACTCCCAATACAGGCGGCCAGGTTCAATCCCTGGCTTGGGAACTAGATCCCACATGCTGCAACTAAGAGCTTGCGTGCCGCCAACTAGGACCCGCTGCAGCCAAATGAGTATATAATTAAAAAAAAAAAAAAATTCAGCATTGCTGACCCTAATACACTTGCCTACATCTCTTCCCAAAGCAATCCTAACGTCCAGGAGAGCTGCAAGTACCGACTCCTTTAATAGTCCTGGAATGCTGCCACTGCCGTCAGAACTGCACTATCTTGTGGCAGAGGAAGGCGACCTGCAACTCCTCAGTTCTCCCGACATGGAACCTGGTTGAGTTCAGTTCAGTCCCCCGGTTGTGTCCAACTCTTTGCCACCCCATGGACTGCAGCACACCAGGCATTCCTGTCCATCACCAACTCCCAAGAGTTTACGCAAAGTCATGTCCACTGACTCAGTGATGCCATCCAACCATCTCATCCTCTGTTTTTCGTCCCCTTCTCCTCCCGCCCTCAATCTTTCCCAGCATCAGGATCTTTTCCAATGAGTCAGCTCTTCGCATCAGGTGGCCAAAGTATTGGAGCTAAAGCTTCAACATCAGTCCTTCCAATGAATATTCAAGACTTATTTCCTTTAGGATGGATTGATTGGATCTCCTTACAGTCCAAGGAACTCTCAAGAGTCTTCAACACCACAGTTCAAAAGCATCAATTCTTCGGTGCTCAGCTTTCTCTATGGTCCAACTCTCACATTCATACATGACTACTGGAAAAACCATAGCTTTGACTAGACGGACCTTTGTTGGCAAAGTCTTTGCTTTAACATGCTGTCTAGGTTGGCCATAGCTTTTCTTCCAAGGAGCAAGCGTCTTTTAATTTCATGGCTGCAGTCACCGTCTGCAGTGATTTTGGAGCCCCCCAAAATAAAGTCTGTCACTGTTTCCACTGTTTTCCATCAACTCCCCAGTTCTCCCGACCCCGAACCTGGTGCCAAAGCGGTATCCACGCGCGGAGAACACGGCAAGCCGCCAAGCAGCACCCCAGGCCCGCCCGCTTATCTCATTGTAGCCCCGCCGCGATTCCTCGGCTTCCCCGGGAGCGGTGCGAGCTCCCGGGAGGCTGCAGCCCCCGAGTCCCGCGCGCCCGCCTCGGCCCTGCAGACGCCGCGCCCTGCCCGCCGCCCACAGCCCCGCGGGCCTCTCACCTCGGCCGCCGCCGCCTCCTCCCCCGGCTCCAGACGGTCCAGGCTCCAGCCCAGCGACGCCGTCATCTCCTCCAGCGTCCGGCGGCAGCTCTCCACGAACTCGCTCAGCTCCTCCCGCAGCCGCCTGCGCTCCTCCATCGGGGGAGGATCGGCCTCCATGGCCTCCGCCGCCAGCGCGCGCTCCCGGAAGAAACCGCTGGACTGCAGGCGGCGCGCGCGGGGGCTTCTGGGGCGGGGGCAGGGCCACGCCGCCACGTGACTGGAACCGCCAATAGGGAAGCGGCCCGGGAAATTTAATTTAGAAAAAAAAAAGTAAGGACATTCTCCTACATAAGCACAATATATGATCAAACCCAAGAGAATTAATAATATATAATAATATTCATATCTCTCTCTCCAGTTGTCCCCCAAATTCCTTTTATAACCATTTCATCATTTTTTTCAAACCATGAGCTATTCCAGAAAAGCCTCCCTCACTCTCCTTTTTAATTTTTATTTTTTAAGCTGCACTACAGTGGTTCAGACAGTAAAGAATCTGTTTGATCCCTGGGTGGAGGAGATCTGTGGAAGAAGGAAGTGGCAACCCATTCCAGGATTCTTGCCTAGAAGATTCCATGGACAGGAGCCTGGCGGGCTAAAGTCCATGGAGTCGCAGAGTCAGACGCAGCTGAGTGACTGACACACACACAATGGCCAGTAGGGATCTCATTTCCCCAACCAGGAATGAACTGGCATCCCATGCAGTGAAAGCAAGCAATCTTAACCACTAGACCACCAAGGATGTCCAAATTAAGTCATTCAATTTTGTCAGGACTCAGTCATCTTGCAGAACATTCCTCTTTCTGGATTTGTCAGATTTTTTTCCTTTATGATTAGATTCAGTTTAAGCCTTTTTTGTTAGATGTGTGTACCTCTCTATTACACTTTATAAAGGACACATAGATTTCCCTGCTGTTAGTAAAGCTAAATTTGATCACTTGGTAGGGGTAGGGCATCACTCCATTTCTACATTTCAGAAATGTAACTGTACATTTTCCTTTTGGTATTTGGTAAGTAATCTGAAGGATGATACTCTGAAGCCATATGAACTTCCTATTCCCAGCACTCCCACAACCCTTCCCTGAATCTGATTACATCAGCAGTTATAAACGATGATTCTCTATCATGGCTCCTCCATTTATTAGCTGCCATTCTTCCCACACCTTCGTTTTTCTCTGTTGTTTCACTATGAAATCCAGGTTTTTGAAATTATTAAGGATTTTAAAATTCATTATTACATACTCAATTACTATAATTCTAGTTTTTAAGCAGAAATGTATTTGCAGAAATTATAACCAATACAAAATATTGATATTTTTGAGAAAACTAAGTTGGGTAAATCAATAATTAAAAATTCTCCCATGGTTCCATGGACTTCTTTTGAATAAAAGTAAATCATTGATAATTGACAGTCATAATGATGCTGTCAACATAAGTGAGCAATGCAGGAGGATTTACTAAAGGATAAGGAGAACTTGTCATATTGATTCAGGCCATTAATAATCAATGTCCATTTACATCCTGTGAGTAATCTGGACTTTTTTTTTAACCATCATAATTTTTATTGAGGCTCAAATGGTCCCAAGTTTGGCCAGTGGAAACCACTATAACCACCTGTCTCTTTGACACATCCTGTTAGCCCTCAAGTACTTTCCTCTTTTGATTAACCCACGTTCTTTATCAGCCCTTTTGGTTTCCCCAGATAGTTTTAATAACTCTTACAATCTAATCCTTCTTTATTTTTTTCTTTTCCCCAAGCCTGATGCCAAATCTTTGCTTTCCTTTGCACTTGTTTCCATGAGGCAAAGAAACGGTGGAGGATACTTTTGTGAACAACTATTTTCAAAGGTAAATAGCAGAGTTCTCTCTCTCACACACACACACATAAAGTTAATAATATGGAAACAGTCCCGTAGCTGCAAGTGGATGTGCTGTAAGAAGCATTCTATTCACACTCAGCCCACAGCATCCTTTTCATTTGCATTTACATTGTTTGCCAAGCCTCCTGGAAAATGTGAGGCTATTTTTGGATGTGAGGCTATTTTTGGATGTGAAGTGATGACGGTCATTGAAAATTTCCCTTTCCTGTGGATGTACAGTGTATGTGAACCAGATCAAACCTCAGCCCAGGTCAAGTATGTCCACTCTCCAGGACCCAACCCTCTCAGCTCAGAACTTAACGCAGCTCTGGCAGCAGCTTGGAGCGGGTGTGACGTTTCACCCCAAAGAACTCCTTTACACTGCTTCCGGATGCTCTGTTCATCACCATTTCCTAAAGAGGTCTCCTGACCTCTGTTCTAGGTTAGGCCTTCAGGATGGACTCAACTGTGTCCCCTCCAAAATTCATAGATTGAAGCTGAAACCTCCAATGTGACTATATTTGGAGACAAGGTGTTTACAGAGTAAATTAAGTTTAAATGAGGTCATAACTGTAGGGCCCCTAACGTGATAGAACTAGTTTTCTTTGATCTGAGGAATAGGCTTCAACAGAGAACCAAGAACTCTTCTGGAATCCGTTTCACAGATTCAAAATCAATTCTTTCCTCTTAGGGGACAAAAATGCAACCATGTTGTTTAAGGCTACCCAAAATGGAATCTTAGCCACTTCATGTTTTTAAAGGGTATGACTGTGAATTAGCCTATGTTATTCACTGCCCAGAATAAATTAGAAGTATGTGCAGACCTCTGACCTGGCCTCTACACAGGCTTCTTTCCAAGACACTACCTAGTACAGAAATGTTGAAAAAACTACCTTCAGAAGACCAACTTCTAAAAAGAATTCAGAACTAAAACAGCTTTTTAATGGTCTTGCATATTGAATCTGGGTCTCCTGCATTGCAGGCAGATTCTTTACCACCTGAGCCACTGGGGAGCCTAATAGGTACTTAGTAAACGATTTTAGACATATTTTACAATAAACAGAAAACTGCTAAGCGCTCTTGTGTGTATGAACATATTATGAAATCAAAACGCAAGAATTTCAAACATTTAAAACTTTATTGCTGGAATAGCAAACTTCATAAGGACACCTTTTAAAAGTACATAGACAATGACAAGCAAAATAAACAGGAAACTTTGATAGAAGAAAAGCAAAGATTGTTACTATCATGCACATACAGTCAAACTAATACCAAACCAAACAGGAACATTGAAGAGTATATGGGATCATGGGTCATGCAATCCAAGGAGACTTATTCCTAACGTTTGGGTTTCAGAGGGGTTCTTTTTTTGGAGACGTTTGCTTTTTCTATGATTGAATACAGTGGAAATTCATATAAATGAGCGCCAAGGTCTAGCCACCTTTCCTACTGATCATCAGTGCCCGATGGAGCTGCTGCTAAAGGAGTAGGAGTAAGAGTAGGAGGAGTTCCCTGTGGCATCGAAGCTTCCTCTCCGGGACCCACTGCGGGAGCCGGAGCGGGAGCCAGAGCGGGAGCCAGAGCGGGAGCCGGAGCGGGAGCCCGGGGCAGAGGACATGTTGTAGGGGCTAGGCAAGCCCTTGGAGGACACAGAGGCGGCCTCCAGCAGGCGCAGGCCGGTGACGTCTTCCACCATGGAGCGGTTGATGGCATCCTTGTAGGATATTTTCAGCTTGGTCTTGGGGCAGGTCAGGATCTTGCCATAGGTGCTGGTGTCCTGCAGCCTCTGAGCTGCCCGGCCGTCGATGTACCCCTTCCTGATGGCCTCCTCCGTGCTTATCCTCCCTTGTACTTCGGGGTCCACCAGGCCCCCCGTGAGGTACTGGAACTCCAGGAAGCGCTGGCCAGCCTCGTAGGGAAGCCACTTTTCCTTCACAGCCTCTGCCGCCGACATCTTCTTCTTGCCCTTCACTCCTTCAAAGCCAATGAAGGCTTTCTGAGCGGGCTTCAGCCTGGTGGCCATATCCTGGTCAATCAGGCCCTGGGAGACCGCATCCTGGAGAGACAGCTTCTGGCCCGTGGTCGGGTGGATGATGCCGCCCGTGCAGGCCTGAGCCTCCAAAAGCCGCTGCCCACTGATGCTGTCAACGATGCCCCGCTCTATCCCTTCTGAAATGGAGATCTTTTCCAGGTTTTCTGTGTCAAAGATGGCTGCGATGGGGCTGGACTCTTCCAGGGGCTCGGACAGGGAGCTGCTCCTGATGGTTAAATTCCTGATGCTGGAGATGGTGGAGATCTTACTGACGGTCTCGTGTCGGGAGCCGCCAAAGACATCATCGCTGAGGCCACCCCCGGTGCCGCTGCTACTGCCCACGCCGTTCTTCAAGGAGATCATATCGGCGAACTGAGTGAGGCTGAGGCTGCCGGACCGGTACTGGTCGAAGAACTTCCTGTCAATGAGGCCCTTGTCGATCGTGTCTTGGATGTCGTACTGACTGCCTGTCTTCCTGTCCACCAGGACCACCCGAGTGGAGCCATCAGAGCCGGTGATGGTTATTTCCTCCCACTCGCACTCCTGCTCACACAGTTCTTTGAAGGTGTCGTAATCTATGAGGCCCTTCTTGTAGGCCTCCTGCACGGACATCTCCTTGTTGGTTTCCGGGTCCACGATGACCACTCTGCGCTTCCTGAGGGTGTTCTTCTGGGAGGTCTGCACCTGTTTCTTCTTCTCTTTCAGGGGCAGGAGACAGAGGCCAGTTTCTTCGTCTTTGATGCATCTTTCTTTCAGCTGCAGATACGTAAGGTTTTCTTCAGTGTTCGGGTCAAAGAAGCCTTTGGTATCGTCACTCGGATCTGAGAGAATCTCGCTGAGCTCCTCGTTGAAGTAGCCCCTCTTGTAGGCGATGTCGACGGGCAGACGATGACTCTCCTTCGGGTCGATGATCCCGCCGGTTGCAATCTGCGCTTCCAGCAGGCGGATGCCATGGCCCTTTTCGATGAGCTCCTTGTTCATGGCTTGGAACAAGGAGATGATGTTTCCTGTTTCAGGATCATTGTACCCAGTGACGGCTCGTTCCGCAGACAGGAGCTTCTCCTTGAACTCGATGCCCACCAGGCCCCGTTTGTAGGCTTCCTCCACCGGTAACCTCAAGTTGCTCACGGGATCCACGATGAAGCCCGTCGCCGCCTGTGCTTCCAGCAGCTCCAGGGCCGTGCCGGGGCGGACCAAGCCGATTTTCATGGCCTCGTAGATGCCAAGCTTCTGTTTCGTGGTCTCATTGTAGATGCCAGCGATACAGCTTGAACCCTGGAGGAAGTCCTTAATTCTCTCACCAACCTCGTCGTAAGAAATCTGACCCGACTCCAGTTCATTGACAGTGGACGGTCTCAATATGCCGGAGTCGACCAACTCAGAGACGGTCACCGGCTGTCTGATTCCTTGGAAGGACATGCTTCTTTTCTGTACTGACAGCAGGAGCAGTCCCGTGTGTGGTTCGATTCTGCACCGCTCCCTCAGCTGCATGTAACTGACCTTCTTTTTGGTGACTGGATCCACGAAGTTCTTCTGACTATCCCGGGGGTCGTTCAGGGAACGATACAGATCTTTGTCAATCAGCCCGCGGGCCAAGGCCACATCTTTCGGCAAAAAGACGCTGTTCACGGGGTCCACCACGCCCCCCGAAGCGATCTGGGCTTCCAGCAGACGCATTCCGGTCTCTCGATCAATCAGATTTTTCTTGATGGCCTCCGACACAGACACGGTCTTGCCGGAAAACGGGTCATCGAAGCCGGTGATGGCCTTCTCCGCTGTGTATATCTGCTGGCGGTCGTCGAAGTCAATGAGGTCCCGTGCTATGGCGTTGTCCACCGTCAGCTTCTCATTCCTGTGGGGATCGATTATGCCGCCCGTGGCCGCCTGGGCTTCCAGGAGCATGACTGTGGATTCCGGGGTGATCAGCTTCTTTCTCTTGGCCTCCACCAAGGAGTACTTCTCCTTCGGGGAAGCGGACGCCCCAGCGATGGCTCCCGCTCCCCGGAGGAAAGGCTGGATCTCAGAAGCGACTTCCTCCACGGACTTCTTCCCCTTCAGCAGCTTGTCCAGGGTCGCCTTGTCGATCAGCTGGCACTCGTACAGTTGCATGGCCGTCACCTTCTTCCTCAGGCCGTCGAACACCAGCTTGGAGGAGTCCACGGACCACTCGTACTCGGTCTGGGTCTCGCGGTGGGACCCGTAGGGGCGCTGCTTGAGCCTGTCAATCTCCCTCTGCAGCCGGCAGCGCTCCGTCTCCAGCTGGGACTGCGTCTCCCGGCTGGAGTCCTCCAGCTTCCGCCGGCACCGCTCCTCGATCCGCTTGATCTCCGCCTGCAGCCTTTCGATCTCGCTCCGGAGGCTGTTCTTCTCTCTCTCGCTCTTCTCTCGCTCCGACTCGATCTTCCTGATGGCCTCCTCCTTGCGGGAGTACTGCGTCTTCCACTGGTTCAGGTCATTCTGGATCTGCTGTTTCTCGCACTCCAGGCGCTGCTTCACCCTGCTTTCCGCCTCCAGGGTCGTTTTGGCGCGACTTAGCTCCTCCTCCAGCCTCTGCAGCCTGGCCTTGTCTTGTTCCAGGACTTTGATTTTCACCAGGAGGCTCTCCCTCTCCTGCACCACCTGAGTGCATTGATTCTTGGACTCCTGAATCCTATTAGATGCCTAGAATGCAAAAAGAAAGAAAGGGGAAAAAAAAATAATGATTTCATCATATCATAGGACTATCACCATTTCACCTTTTTCCTGCATTTTTACAATATATATTACTTATTTGCCCTTTCCCTCTTTCCTACTGTTATTTTATCTTACAAGTTCGTGGGAAAAAAAATCTGTACATATACGTTGCCACTTTGATAAATGGCTTCTATACTTACTATACTTTTCCATAGGAGATACGAGCAGTTGTAGACCTGGTTTACTCGTAATAGTAATTATGGTTTGAACAAATATGGCGAATTTTGTTCCAGGTTATCACACCTGCTGTACCTACATGCCACCTGTTACAGCTATTAATAAAGCTACACATCTATGGACATATCCAGCCCCCCACCCCCAGCCCCACACAAATATTGTTTACAGAAGTCAAACGTGTTAGAAGTTAAAGAAGTGTTAAAATTAGGGGTTAAAAGAGAAGCCAAACAAAAAGAAACATATTAGGGCTAGGATGAAAAGAACATAGAATAATACATGCAGAAAAATCATGAGGAGCAAGCAAGAAAAAGCGATTTAAAAATTTGTGCAGAAAGCGTGCAATTTAATGTGGCTCAAAAAGCCCCTTTAACGTGCCTTTTATTTAGGAAGATTTTAACTACAAACGTAGGTCACAGCTCACAAGGTAAGAGCCGTCTTCTCGAAAACAGACTGGCACATCGAGAGGAAGTGATGTCAGGTCTTACACCCGGCGGAGGTTCTAAAGGTGAAGCCAGTGTGGGTTACACAGAGAAAACCAGTGAGAGAAGAGACAGGCCAACCACACCGCAATCACTCCACCGCAGGTCTGATGAGGACAGACAGCGGCAAAGAGAAAACGTGAGAGGGCTGCAAACCTCCAGCCCGGCGGAGAGGACCGCAGCGGGGATTAGTGGAGCGGCAACAAGCAGCGATCAAATATTTGTGAATACCTCTAAGGCCTGCTTTTGGAATCTCTCAATTTCCTGTCTCAAGTTTTCCCTCTCTCTCTGTAAATCGTTAATCAGGCCCTGCAGCTCCAGCGTGCGGCTGTTGCTGATCTGCAGCTGGCTCCGGAGCTCCGCAATGGTGGCGTTCTTGTCGTGGTCGGCCTCGCTGCGGCCCCGCCGGAGGTCATCGTACTCCAGCCGGAGCTGGCGGAGCTCCTCCTCCAGCATCAGGTGCTCCTTGGTGAGGCTCTCGGTCAAGGACTGCAGCCGCTCGATCTCGATCTTGCTCTCGTTCAGGCTGCGGCTCTTGTCCTCGATGGCCTTCTGGAAGTGCTCATTGCGCGCCTGCGCCTGCCTGACACTCTCCTGCTCCTGCAGCAGCTGCCGCCGCAGGGCCTCAGCCTCGGAGGCCAGCCTCCGCAGCTCGTCCTGGGTCCTCTGTTTCTCCCGCAGGTGGCCGTCCAGCGTGTCCCGCTGCTGCCGCAACTCATCCTCACTGCGCTTCTTCACGATGGACGCCTGCTCCAGCTGCTGGGTCAGGCTGGTGACCTTGATCGCCTGCTCCTTCAGGGTCCTCCGCAGGCCCTCCAGCTCCTCCTCCAGCTTCTTCCTCTTGGAGGAGTCCTCGGAGGCCGCCCTCTTCAGCCTGGCCAGCTCCTCCTCTGCCTTCTGCTTCTGCAGCTGCAGCTCCTTCAGGGAGGTCTGGAAGCGAGCGATGTCCTGGTCCCGGACGGTCCTCTCCTGGGACACCCGCTCATAGTCCAGCCTCAGGCGCAGCAGCTCCTGTTCCTGCACCTTCAGCTTGCTGATGGTCTCCGTGGCGCTGCTGTGAGCTTTCTGCAGCTCACCCTGGGCTCTCTGCAGCCTGGCGTTTTCATCCTCCAGGCACTTCCTCTGGCTGGTTTCCGTCTCGATCAGCTGCTTCAACCTGTCGATCTCCTTGTTTTTGTCCTGGATCGTCTTGGCGGCGTCATCCAGAGACTGCTTGTACCGGGCACTCTCTTCCGTCCGCATCTGCGTCACCTGCCTCAGCTCAATCTCCAGCTGCTGTTTCCGCTGCGACATCTCCGAGCCGGTGGCCTTCTGCTGTTGGACGTTCTCTTCGACCCTCCTGAGGGTCTCCGTGGTCTGGGCCAGAGTGTTCTTCAGCCTCTTGACCTCTTCCGAGAGGCTGCGGTTTTCCCTGGTGAGGGTGTCTATCTGGGCCCGGTAGCCGCCAGTGTCCTCCTCCTTCTGCAGGGTGAGCTGGTGGATGGTCGTCTTGGTGATGTTGATCTCCGTCTCAAACTGGTTCTTTAAGCTGATGATTTCCTCGTCGTAGTTGGCCCTTACCTTAGCCAGTTCACTCTCATATTCCCAGCGGCGCTTGGCCTCCTCCTGGAACTCAGCTTTGAGTCTTTCGATCTCCTTGTTTTTGTCCTGGATGGTCTTGGCCGCCTCCTCCAGGGACTGCTTGTGCCTGGCGTTGTCCTCGGAGCGCTGCTGGATGACCTGCTTCAGCTCTATCTCCAGGTGCTGCTTCTTCTGCAGCATCTCCGAGCCGCAGGCCTTCTGCTGCAGGGCGTCCTCCTCGGCCCGCCTCCGCTGCTCTGTGGTCTGCAGGATGCTGTCGTTGAGACGGACGATCTCCTCCTTCAGGTCTCGGTTCTCCCTCGAGAGTCTATCGAGCTGGTTGCGGAGGTTTTTGGAATCATCCTCTTTCTGCATGGATATCTCTTTGATGGTAGTCTTGGTGATGTTAATCTCTGTTTCATACTTGTTCCTTAAATTACTCATCTCCTCATTATAGTGGTTTCTTACCTTTGCCAGCTCATTTTCATATTCTCTCTTCCGGGCACCCTCCTCTTGCAGCAGCACTCTCAACCTCTCTATCTCGAACTCCTTCTCCTTGATGGCCTTCTCAGACTCCATCTTCTGCCAGCCGAGGCTCTCCTTCTCGTTCTGCCGCGCTTTCTGCAGCTGGTCGTAGTCGCTCTTCTGCTGGTCAAACCTGTCCTCCACGGCCTTTCTCCGGCGCTTCTCGTCCTCGATCTCGTACGTCAGCCGGGTGATCTTCTCGTTGAGTTCCTTGATCTGCCCGTAGCACTTGTCTAGGTTTTGCTTGGCCGACTTGCCGTCCAGCTCAGCCTGTCTCTTCAGCTCCTCCAGGCTCACGAGCTTAGCTTTGAACTGGGAGCACTCGGCCTGGTATTTCTGCAGGTTCTGATCCAGGAATTTGTTCTTATTGCAGTTCTCAGAGTTGGCGTCTCGGGCCAGCCTGAGCTCCTCTTCCAGAACTTCGATCTTGGTATTTTTCAGCTGTGGAAGGGAAATCAGAGAGGGTGTTGAAAGAAACATACCTCGACATTGTAAGAAAGAAGTGGTACTTCCCCCCTGCAGACCCATGTGCTTTCTTCACTTCTTGTTGCACAACTACACACGCACACACAGACAAGCACGTAAAGAGTGATACAAGGCAAAAGCTACTAGGCAAAAAAATTCAACAAGTCTGTATTCTTGTCCTTCTTCCATCGGGTACTTGCATGATCTTAGTAAAGGACCTATCTTCTTTGAATTTCAGCTTCCTTCATATCTATAAATGAAGGAATTTCTTTCAAGACCAAAAGCTTATGATTTCCTAAATTATGCGTCCTTAATTTCCAGGCATAAAGTAAGTTTCCATATAAACTCAGAGCATGAGCATTAGAAATGAGGTTTAAATTCAACAATCACCTGACGTGAAAAATTCAAATCCAGCAAGTGCCGGGTGTTCTTCTTAATTTAACACAAAGAAATAAAGCTAATTCCTTGACCAAATATTAAATTGAAATTCCTGGGGTTTTTGACAAAGTAAAATAGCTATACTTTTGAAAATATGACCTCAGTCCATTCCGAGCAGTGAACTGGAGAATAGGACTGACACCTGATTTATGAAGGAACTGTATTATACTAACTATTTAGAGGAAATACAGTTTTACCAAGGAGTATCTGTGTTAAAATGAGGCAGTGGAAAAAAAAAATTGGGCATGTATACACTGCTATGTTTAAAATGGATAACCAACAAGGACCTACTGTAGAGCGCATGGAATTCTGCTCCATGTTATGTGGTGGCCGGGATGGGAGGGGGCCTTGGGGGAGAAAAGGGACCTTTGTGTGCATGGCTGAGTCCCTTCACTGTTCATGTGAAACTATCACAACTCTGTGTGCTAATCGGCTGTACCCCAGTGCAAAAGAAAAAGTAAAAACACCCCACGAGGCTGTAATAATTTAAGTTCCATTCTATTTTCTTTTCAATCGTCCATGGAAATAAAGTGCGTAGGTTACCTTCAGATCTTCCAAACTCTTCAGCATCTCACTTAAGAATCTGTAATAGTCTCCAGACCTTGTAAGAAGCTCTATGTACCGAGCATGCATATCTGCAGCCTTGGAGGAAAGATACACAAGGACTAGTCAATGACATTGCATTCAAAAGAAGTCCTATACAAGCTGACCAGTTCTGTTTCTAAAACAAACCAGTAGTGAAATTATAACTTAAAGAGTGAATTCCCTTTTTTCATCTGTGCTAATTCCAAAATCCAATAAAACAATAAAGTGCAATAAAATGAAGGGCCTAAAACCATGCATTTTATCCTCATCCCTCTAGGGTATGCCCCCTAAACCATCTGATATGAAATCTTTGAGAAGTTGTCTTTAGAAACTGACTAGATATTTTCCACTTTTTGAATGTCTCCCTCAATAAACCCAGAATTTAAGCCTGGTTTCTGCAGAGAGTCTAATGTATAAATAGACCCAGACTTCTCACTGATCATTTCCTAAAACGCATCTTATACTGATGATTTACACTAGAGAGAGGATAACCTATTAAACCTTTCTGAATGGATACCCTCCCTATAGCAAGAAATGAATTTGGGGAGGGTGGGGAAGACAGGAAGGGGACAGGGAAGAAAGAAGATGCAGACAGAGGGGTGGGCTCTCAGAGAGAGGTAATGACTTATCTACCTCTTGCAGAATCACCCCAGAAGGAGACTGAATCACGGTTCTCTTGATAGGGATACTCAGCAGAGTTTCCAGTCCTGAGGTGTATGATGCCAGCTGCAGTTCATAATCCTGCAGAATAACGACGTTTCAGAAAAACATACCTAAGTGACTTAAAAGGAGTCACTGGCAGCTACAATTCCAGTTTTAAATCACCACGCTGTACTTCTGATGTCCGATCCCAAAGGCTATAATGTGCTGCTTGCGTCCAAGCATCATACGATGGTATTAAACCAAGTGGCACATCTTTATAAGCTAAACAAGAGATTTCTGCACACACCACCAGTCTAAAGATGAAGACCAGCCCACTGCCACAGATACTGCCAATGTATAGTGGAGTCAAGCTAACGGATCATAAGCGTTTATGGTTTGTTCAGAAGAGAATACACAAAAGCCATAATCACTGTCCTCAAGAAGTTTATCATCTTTAAAGTGAATCAGAAAATAATGTAGTCAATAATGTTCTTTTCTAATAAAAAGACACAGAACACTTCATGAATTTGCATGTCATCCTTGAAGAAGGGCTGGGCTGATCTTCTTTGTATGGTTCCCATTTTAATATACATGCCGCCACAGCAAACACCATTCATAATATTCTTGATGGAACACCAACATGCTTTCTGAAACCAACATACCTTAATTGAATTTGCACAAAGTTCAGCAATTTTTTGTACTTCTTCTGATTTGTCTCGTTTGCCACTTATCTCACTGTGCAAATTCTATACAGAAAAGAAAATATGTACAAATGTTAAAGTGTACACATATTTTAAAATAAATGTTTTTTTCATTCTTTAACCACTGTTATTTGTTTTTTCTCCCCTCCTCAGCTTAAGATCTGTTCTGACCCCATAGTCTCACAATTAAACCTCAGGAGATGAGTATGTTTTCTATTCAGAAAATAGAAGGAAGATCTTCAATTTGTTATGACCTAAGAGGTTACTATCTGGTCAGCACTCTTTTCTGGTCCTGTTAACTCAATTTGTAAAGATACTTTACTACAACATAACATTATTTCTATGTTCATAATTGCATTTCTTTGTAAATATCTCAAGTGCTTTTCCTCTGGGCATTATTTAAGCATTCCCAAAATGAACTAGTAATATTAAAGATTTATCATTTCATGAAAAAATACACACACCCCTATGTTCACAGCAGCATTATTTATAATAGCCAAGAAAAGGAAACAATCTAATGTCCATCAACAGATGAATGGATAAGGAAGATATGGTATATATACACAATGGAATATTGTTCAGCCATAAAAAAACAAATGAAATAATGCCATTTGCAGCAACGTAGATGGACCAAGAGATTGTCATACTAAGTGAAGTCAGAAAGAGAAAAACAAATACCATATAATATCACTTGTATGTGCAATCTCAAATATGACACAAATGAATTTATCTATGAAATAAAATAGATTCACAGACATAGAGAACAGACTTGCGGTTGCTGACTGTGTGTGTTGGTGGGGAGACATAGACTGGGAATTTGGGATTAGCAGATGCAAACTTTCACATATAGAATGGAAAAACAACATGTCCTACTGTATAGCATAGGACACTATATTCAATACCCTGTAATAAACCATAATGGAAAAGAATATGAAAAAGAATGTATATTTATGTATAATTGAATCACTTTGCTGTATATCTGAAACTAACACAACAGTGTAAATCAACTATACTTCAATAAAATACATTTTTTTAAAAAACTTATCACTTTAAACCTCGATACTGCTATGAAAGCCAGAGGAAAATACAGCTTATACCCAGTGAAATCCATATAATGACAAATCTGCTTATACCTTCTGCTCATTCAAAAATCTCATGACCGTGTTGGAATCTCCAAACTTCATGGATTCTAAGTTGTCCTGGCGGCGTTTGGCGTCATAGAGCCATTTGCAGAAAGTCTGATAGTTATCACGGTAATTCCTCAGTTGCTTGATTTGTTTCTCCAGGTCCCATAATCTGGTGAAAATAAGAGATAATAAAATTATTAAAGTGTCACTATTGCTCTGTGATAGTATTTAACACAGAGTTACCAGATGACCCAGCAATGCCACCGGGCACACACTCAAGAGGACTGAAAACATACATCCACACAAGAGTTAACATGTGAATGTTTGCAGCAGCACTTCACGAGAGCCAGAAACTGAGAGCAACCCAAATACACATCCACTGATGGAAGAATAAACAAAATGTGGTAGAGCCATACAATGGAATATTATACAGTCAGAAAAAAAAGAAGTGAAGTACTGACATGAGCTACACCATGGGTGAACCTGGAAAACGTTATGCTAAATGAAAAAATAAAACAGTCACATAAGGACCACATATTATATCTTTCCATTTATATGAAATATCCAGAATAGGCAAATCTATAGACAGCAAAGACAACGGTGGTTGTTTGGGGCTGGAGGGCTGGGAAGGAATAGGGCAAACTGCCGGTGGGTGCAAGGTGTTTTGTTTTTGGCCATGCCACACAGATGTGGGATCTCAGTTCCTCGTGAGTGTGAGTGAAGAGTGAGTCAAAGTTGCTCAGTCGTGTCCGACTCTTTGCAACCCCACGGACTACAGAATCCATGGAGTTCTCCAGGCCAGAATACTGGAGTGGGTAGCCTTTTCCTTTTCCAGGGGATCTTCCCAACCCAGGGATTGAACCCAGGTCTCCCACATTTCAGGCGATTCTTTACCAGCTGAGCCACAGGGAAGCCCTTAGTTCCCTGACCAGGGATCGAACCTGTGCCCCCTGCAGTGGAAGTGCAGAGTCTTAACCACTGGACAACCAGGGAAGTCGACAAGGTTTCTTTTTTAGAGTGATGAAAATGTTCTAAACTCAGAATGTGGTGATGGTTACACATTCTGAACTTACTAAAAACAACTGAATTGTATACTTTCAAATGTGAATTGAAAGTGAATTGTACAGCATGTGAATTATACATCAATAGAGATGTTTTTAGGAGGTGTTTTCAGGAGATGTTTTCAAATCCTCATTTGCAGTAAGGCATTTCTTTTGTACTAAATATAAGATTTAATTTTCACAAAATTTTGGAGAATGTTCCCTCAGAGTCACTACTCCTTCCAACAAACGGTCATGACAGGAGTTTAGACGGCACAGAAGAGCTTGATCAATGGCTTCCCTTATTTCCCTATGAACCTGGAGGGCATCCGACATAAGTGAGTTCAAGCCTGGCTACTGGGATGAAACCCTCTTCCCACTCCCCACAAAGCTGCCAGGATGTGAAGAGAGTGCCCAGGATGCTGAACTGACACACAGAACAAGACCACTGGTCTCTGGTCTTAGATTTTGGCCAAGCCACAAGGCGTATAGGATTTCAGTTCCCCAACCAGGGATCGAACCTACATCCCCTGCATTGGAAGCACAGAGTCTTAAACACTGGACCACCAGGGAAGTCTCCAGAACCACTGTTTTCTTTAGTGATGACAACTTCAATTGACATTATATTGGGAACAACCAAACAGGCAGAGAGGGTGGGAGGAGACTGGCACACCTGTAGTCTATCTGTTTATCGATCCTTTGCCAGCGATCTGTCAGCTGGGTGACCTTTTCACTGAACTTGCCCAGGTCCAGGTCATACAGTGGATACTGCTGTGAAGTCTGGGAGTGGATCTGCTGGGCTTTCTGCAGTTCTGTCTTCATGGTGGCCAGCAAGGACTTCTTCAAGTTCAAGTCATTTTTAATTTTCTGTCACAGGAGGGAAAAAAAAAAAAAGAGTACAAATTAACCTCATTCCCACTTGATGCTACACTGCAAGGGAAATATCTTTACAGACTGTATTTCCTAGTATTTGTGCTAATGACCTAGTTCTTTGTGCTAATTCAAGAAAAAAATTTTTTTGAAAAAAAACCACGGGGACACAGAGTCAGACGCGACCAAGCGCACGCACATTAATGTATTGAATATGGCATCTCAGGCTCTGAGAAGTGCTACGGTACTAGGCTCAGTTGCCAAGTCATGCTCCGCTCTTTATGACCCCAGGGACTGGAGCTCGCCAGGCTCCTTTGTCCTTGAGACTTCCCAGCAAGAACACTGGAGTGGGTCGCCATTCCCTTCTCCAGGGGATCTTCTCGACCCAGGGATCAAACCTGGGTCTCCTGTGGCTCTTGCACTGCGGGCAGATTCCTCACCGCCGAGGCACTGGGGAAGCCCACCCCAGTACCATAGTACCAGCTTAACTAGGCTGAACTCGCATTCCCCAGGCTAATCTCACTATAAACGACCTTCTCAGGTAGGTCCTGCCAATGTGCTCTGGACAACAGCGTTCTGGTCCTCTCAACAGCTGATGTCAACCACGTGTGGCCAACAAAATCCAGCAATCCTGGAAAGTCATGAAGACGTAGTGAAGCTTTGTCACTGGGGACTGAGTATTCCTGAGTTTTTTTTCAAAATAAACCGGGCCGCTGTTGAATCTCCTCTTATTACCTTGAGTCCACAGCGGTAAGCCTCCACTTTGTCCAGATCCAGGCACACGGTCTCCTCTTCCGTAAGTCTGGCCTCGTAAACCTTCAGCATGTCTTCTGTCTGCAGAATGGCCTGCAGGAGGGCTCTCACGGTGCACAAGCTGTCAGGAGCCAAAGAGGCAGATAAAATTGCCGATGGGACAGTTAGACTTTGACTCTTGCCATGCTTCATAAAAGAGAACAATATTAAAGCAGAGAAACACTGATTTTGCTTATTTTAGAAGCAGCGCAGCAATGCATTTTTTCCCCCAATTTCATGACTCAGAACACCACTTCGCATTAATGGAAGAATTCTAAGCTCTGGCCTGAAGGGGCTGCCTTGGTTAAAAGAGACACTGGAGTTCAGAATAGTGGGACTAGCATCCTAGGCTGGAGGAACCTCTCCCGGAAGCACAGAAAATGAGAGTGAGTCCCCCACGAAAAGACAAACCATAGGCAACGGCTCCAGAAACCAGCACATAAAGCAAACGAAGTCTCACAAAATGAAGCTTGAGAAAAGCCGAATATCTGAGGTCAGTGTCAGTTGCGTTTACCTATTTAAGTAGCCGTCCGTCACGCCGTTGATATTTTCCAGTTTCTGAAACAATCCAAATACCTCATTCTGCAAATAGCAATATTTTTCCGAACCTCTGAAGTTGGCTAGCATGTCCTTCAGCTGGTTGAGAACTTGAGCAATGGCTTGAGAATCATTCTGTACGCTCTGTCCAGAAAGAAAGAAAGCGCCTTTGATCTAGCTGTATGCCTCTCATTGTCATTCGTGCCCACAAAAAGCCCCCCAAAATATGAATGATTCAAGACAGAGTTTACCCTTCCTGTCCATCAGGGAGGCCTTACCAGCACTGGGTCGATCAACCCTCTTCCTTAGAAAGTACACCTCGGACATTCTAATGCCGTGCCCAGGCCTGGCTGGGCAGGAGCCTGATGACGGAGCACCTAGGCTGCAGACCCAGCTCCACGGCTCTGACACCCCCTCCCCAAAACAAGTCTCTCCATGTCCATTCCCTGTTTTCAAAGAACATCATTCTACCTGTCTAACCCATATCATACGCTGTTTCGGGAAGAAGCCAAATTCATGTTTTTTAAAACTTAGGAAATCTACAAAGTGCTACCTTGCAGAAAAGGAAGAACACGGCAGCCTGATTCAGCAACCCATCATCTAACAGCAAAGACGGTTTAATCCCCAGCCTGGAATTGTTCAACAAATTTGGAAGCATGGGAAAGGAAAAAGGAAGTTGGGCCAGAAGCCTTTTATTGAAAACGAAGGTTTCAATAGGTTTAAACCTAAAAATGTTTAAACCAGGAGGGTTTTTTTTTAATTAGTTCTCAGTTAAATAGAAATATACCTGGGATCAAGCAAAATAATAGCGAGCGCCTACCTTGAGCTCGTTTATTTTCACTGTGATGTGGTGGGAAGACCCCTGATCTGCCAGAAGGATGTTCTTAAGGGCCATCCTGCTCTCACAGAGCTCCATCTGCCGGCGTATCTTCTGGAGCTCTATCAACATCCACGTTTCTTGTTTGTCATTTTCTCTATTGGTTTCAATTACTTTATTATGGTTGACGTCTTGGCAGGTACCAAGATGAGTGATTTCAGTCGTGGTTACTGTAAAAATGTTAGGACCACAAAAATCAGAGAATTCCCAGCTAGAAGGGTGTGAGGCCTCAAGAAAACAGCCAGGCTGCTACTTCCTTTGATTGGGTTCTGAAAACTTAAGTGTCTTTTTCTTTCTTTTTGAACTTTTTATTGTGTATTGGGGTATAGTCGATTAACAATGTCGTGATACTAACAGCTTCAGGTGAATAGCAAAGGGACTTTGCCATACATATACATGTATCCATTCTATTCCAACCTAAATGACTTTTGAAGTGTGATCTTTCAAAGAAGCGATGCCAAAACAAGATCCGGGCCAACTACGTCCTTTCTTTTGCAAACTGCATGTATGGTGGCTGCAGAGAGAGAAGGGCTCTGAACCAACCTGTCTGGTGCTGGGGGTGGCCGGGCAGCTGTATGACCAGGGTCTGGTAGTGCTTCTGGGCATCTGTGAACTGGGTCTGCATCTTCCGCTTGTCGTCATCTCCAAACATCTCCGAGCCTTGGCTGTTTCTGATGAACTCTTGGTAATGTAACTCGAGGTCAGATATGGTCTTCATGTAATCTTCCTGCCGCATCGTTTTCAGCTGGAAATAAACCCAGTGGAGGTGTTTCTGACGGCCCCACAGAGGGGCCAAGGGGAGTTTGCTGGGAAACTCACCATGCTGGGGGCGGTGGGAGGGAAGGTGGGTGGGGGGCGGAGGGTAGTGGCCTGAGGCATCGCCCCTCAAAGACCCATTAAGACAGAAAAGGTCTTTGAGGATTTAGACCTTGCTCCTAAGAACCACAGCAGCAGGCTATCAATTTTTTTTCTTCCTAGGAAATGTTCTTCAAAGGAAACAGGACTCAGAAACCCCAAGAGTCAAGCGGATCACAGCAAAGCTGCTCTGACTAAGAAGAGCGAAGGGAAGCCCCAGACTTACCCTTCCACGCCCCTGCCCTCCCAGAGGACCCCGCCCCCTGAGGTTCCTGGACCACAATCTGAAAATTACTGGTCCAGGGTAGCTAATGCTTTGGATTCCAAGAATCCCACCCCACCTTTTACTTCTGTGCTATCCAGTCAATAATTATGACCTCATTTCCCATTATGTCTTCTAAGGAGAAGGGGACCCAGAGGACCACAGGACCACATGCCTTTGCCACGGGGACTTCTGGCTTGTCGGGTAACTTTAATTAGTCCTCTGTGTCATAAGCAGCCCGGTGCAATTCCTCCCGTCTGTGTTGGATGAACTAGAACGTCTAAGGAAGGTTCAGCTGACTCTCTTGCTGACCCACAAGGCATTAGCTGCACAGCGAGGTTTGCCTGGCAGAAACTGCAGTGCGGGCAGTGACTGGGCAGCCCCTCTGGGCAGCGAGTGGGTCGCGAGGACGTACCTTGGCGATGGTCATGGCCTTGATCTTCTCGATATCGATCATACAGTAGTGCCAGGACACCAGGCTCTTCATGTTGATGTAGAGTTGGTTCCACAGGGCCAGGATGGCTTCATAGTACTGCTCGATCCTAGGAGGCACAAGGGGAAACACGCGGGCCTGGCTCTCCAAGTTCATCCCGAAGGGGAAACCTGGCCCGACGGCACAGAAAGCTCAAAGGAGAACTAACAGAGCAATGGGCAAAGGGAACATCTGCAAAACATCCAGCATTCAGTAAGGAGTTCCCTGGCGGCTCAGCAGTGAAGGATCCGCCTGCAATGCAGCAGACTCGGGTTGGAGCCCTGGGTCGGGAAGATCCCTTGGAGAAGGAAATGGCAACCCACTCCAATATTCTTGCCTGGGAAATCCTGTGGACAGAGGAGCCTGGCGGGCTACAGTCCATGGGGTTGCAAAGAGTCAGACATGACTTAGCAACTAAACAACAACATTTCGATAGATTTGAACTGATACCCAAAGAAAGCTCTCAATGACCCGACATGGGTTTAGATACACTGGAATCATTTTTGTTGAAACACACAGTACAATTTGGGGTGGTTGGGTTGTTTATCGGCAACTTTTTAATTGATGGAGGTCTGACTCCATGCATGCTGGCAGGAAGAAATGGGTCTCGGGTCATAGAACTCTGATGGTTTCTGGGGTTTGGAAATATTCTTTGGACTAAGCTCACCGCACCTTGAATGGGCTGAAGATTTCCTTTATAAAATATTTGGAAGAATCTGCCCTGGACAACCTGTCAAGTGAATGTTCCAGCTACTCCCTGACGGGCCAAATGTTCATGTGGAATGTTTAGCCACATATTCTATTTGTGGCTACAAGTCAGACTGTGTGTGTGCATGCTCAGTTGCTCAGCCGTGTTCAACTCTTTGTGATCCCATGGACTGTCCATGGGATTCTCCAGGCAAGAATACTGGTGGGATGCCATTCACTCCTCCAATATGTCAGACTATCGATGGAGTAAAAGGAGGAAGAATTCTGAAACCACACCTTTCAAGTGCACAGTCAAGATGAGTTCATCTACTGTCAAATATTCTTTTTCATCCTCCAATGATAAGTTCAGTATCTCCCACATAAAACCGCAAGGCAAGGCGAAGGGACCTTCACCGGATCCCACTTTGGGGGAGGAGACAGCAGTGTGGAGCGGTGTGTCTGAGTGTTTGTACCGGGGTCGGCCGCACTTTTCCCCACCCACGTGCACACCCCGGCCAGCAGGAACTTGAACTACGTACTTGCTCGAGAGGTCCACGGCCAGAGGGTTGGGCGGAGGGATGATGAGGCCCACGGAGGGCACGAGCATGTCCACGCCGCCCGGGCCGGTCACGTACCACTTGCTCCGCTCATTGCTGTCCTTCAGGATGCATTCGTCCCCTTTGTGGACAATTTTCTGCAAGGCAAGCAGCACCGTGCTGTGGCTTGATCCACAGGCCCACATTTTTATCTTTTCGCTCAAAAAACAGAAGCAGCCGCAAGGACCACATGCAAAGTGTTTCAGCTTTGAAACACTTAATTTCTCCTCCATTCAAGCTGACCTTGACACAACCCAACAGGACTGATGCTTTAAATTCAACAGGTGAGTCTACAAGGTATGTCTGAAGGGAATTAGGAGGAGTGACTTTCCAGGAGACAGCCAGGGGGGTCCTCCGGAGAAGTGATAAATCCTTTTATAAAGCAAAAACTCACCCCCTGACTTCTCCACACTTGTGAGTTTTTGTTTCATATAGTAGATTTCAGTGTGTGGGCATCACATCTCATTCATTTGTTAAAATTTTTAAATAAAAACAAAAAATTTCTGGTATCAGGTCCCCAGAAAAACAACTTTCTAAATTAAGTCCAGCATCTAAATTGCTTCTTTTCTAAATTAACTAGATAGCTTCTTAAAATGGGTACTTAAATTATGACATCTATAATTATTAACGTAACAAGTCTGACAAGTAGGTATTTTGATCTCCATTTCGATTTCTTTCTTCTCTCCAGCCAAGTTCTAAAACCATTTCTGCATGGTAGAATAAACTCCATTGTTTTATAACGTTCATCTCACCAGCTAGTCACATTTTTATTTATTAAGTCCTCCATAATTTTTATAAGAAAATAGAGTTGTGGGAATTTCATGAAAACTTGCGAAAATGGAGTCATCTTTCCATATAAATGTTTGTATTGATGGTAGAACCTGCAGAACTGATGTGTCCATTTAATACATAAAATCCGCGATGACGTTCCCTTTACATGCAGCATAATGGCCATGTATCTTGTTTGCTTTTAACCTCAGAAGAAGTCTTAAGCCTTAAAACAGAATTAGAATAATTTAAAAATACCTATTGTCCTACTTATTGATAATTATCACATGATTCAGAACAAAATCACTCCATTCTTTCAACACCTTCCCCTTTGTATACAAAAGAAAGAAATTTACTAGAGTGTTTCCCAAAACCTAAATTCAGTTCCGCTCTCTCGATGGACAGAAATCCATCCATAGAGAAAGGGAAAACTTTCGCAGCATTCTGAGTAACAGCACACACCTGGTCCTGTTTGTAGTCGCAGAGAGCCCTGAGAATAATGGGTTTATTGCTTCTGTAGTCCGGGTTACGAGGTTTCAGCTGCACAATCTTCTTGGACTTGTTCACCAAGTTCTGCACCTGGCGCTTGTATTCAAGGATTTTCTCCCGTTCTTTCTGCAATTGCAAATAAAATCATCCTTAAACATAGAAACTCTCTGAAAATTAGGCGAGATCTTGAAAGGGCATTCCTATAGCTATCATGACAATACAAATTAGACCCCACTGTAGTTGCATTAGCTGTAAAAAGCCACCCATTCCTTCGTGTGCAGGGACCACGGGTATCTTTCATAAGAAGCCACTACAGAGACAACACAGCCATGAAGTAGGGGAGCAGGAAAGCATATCACTGTGTGAGGACGCTGCTGATAACATGTGACATATGCTTTTCCAAAGGGATCTTCATGTTAAGTCATCCGTGCGCTCTCCAGGTTTGTCTAGAGCAATGGTAACTACTGAAGCAGAAGCAATCTGCAAGAGTAGCTAAGCATGCAGAGAAATGGATTTGAGAAAAGCCACGCTGAAGACAAGGTTTGCTTGAGCTTGGAGCACTCACTGCTCTGCAGAACAATACAAATCCAAACAGCAGTCTGAATTGCATTGGTGGGTGCGTTTATTTTATTCCCAGGAAAGCGCCTGCATCTGAGACGCTACCTCCAGCTCCTTGATCTGCTCCAGCAGGCGCTGCAGGGGTGTGCTCTTGTCACAAGGGTACTTCTTCCTGATGGAGTCTTGGAGACCCTTCAAGTAGGCTTCCGTCGACTGAGCCTCTTCAAAAAACTGTGAAGGACGGGGGTGACTCCATGTCAGTGAAAAGCAACTGAACAGGCAGCATCACCTAGTACTTCACCTTGCAGGAGTATCTTCCCTACGAGTCTATCTGACAGGTGGTTAAAGGAAAAGATGGGAGCAGAAACTTACAGGAGAGCCCGAGACTATCTGAAAGACTGGTGACCCGTCTGTGCTCCTCTAAGCTAAGCCCCAACGAATAGTGTTTATGCAATATTGTAAATACTGTTTTCAGGGCTTTCTCAAACACATTCAAAAGAGAAGGCATTAAGACCCAAAAGACAGTTAAATGGTTACTAAGGATAAAAACCTGAAAGTAGGCAGCGTTTTCTTTGAGATGAACATCAATGCATTTGGTGATCTGAAGGATCCAGCTCCACTGGGTCTGCAGGGTGTCCATGTAGGCCTGAAACAAGAGAATAGCAACCGTCTCTCCACCACTCAGCCGTAAGAGAGGCATCCGTCAACCCACAGATGGGTGAGCCTCAAGGAAAAGTATGAAGCAGTTTTTAAAACCTAATTCCAAATCAAGTAGAGTTTTTTTCTAAAAACTGAAACTAGAATCTCCCAACAGGAACCTTTTGGTATGGTAGAAATTAAATTTTAAGGCCAATTTTGGAAATTCCCTGGTGGTCCAATGGTTAGGACTTGGCGCTTTCACTGTTTCGGCCCCAGGTTCAATCCCTGGTCAGGGAACTAAGATCCTGTAAGCTGTACAGTCAAAAAAAAAAGACCTAGTGTTAACAAGTGGGTATCCTTACAAGTATTAGTTAAAATATTCATCCCAATGACATAGCTTCTGACCAATCAAAACAGACCAGTCAGAACAAGGATAAAGCAGGGGCATCCAGTCTTCTTCCGGAGAAGGCAATGGCGACCCACTCCGGTCCTCTTGCCTGGAAAATCCCACGGACAGAGGAGCCTGGTGGGCTGCAGTCCATGGGGTCGTGAAGAGTCAGACACGACTGAGCGACTTCACTTTCACTTTTCACTGTCATGCATTGGAGAAGGAAATGGCAACCCACTCCAGTGTTCTTGCCTGGAGAATCCCAGGGACGGGGGAGCCTGGTGGGCTGCCGTCTATGGGGTCGCACAGAGTCAGACACGACGGAAGCGACTTAGCAGCAGCAGCAGCAGCAGCAAGTCCTACTCCTGTTCAGCTGTTAGATCATGGGGAGGTCCAAGGAGAAGGAGCAGGACCCTATGGGCCGTGCCCCCCCCAACCCATGTCCTCAACCTGCCTTTTGTCTGTGGAAAAACTCTAGCCAAAGAATGAGCTTAATCAGAGAAGTGAGAAAATGCAGAAACAAAGGAGTACAGTCCAACATGACTAAACGTTAATAGTTTGGTCATTAAGCAAAGTCAAGGATCTTTAGTTCCTCCTCAAGGGCTATATCCTGTGAGTCGTCCTGTCCATACGGAGACTTCCCAGGTGGAAGAAGTTATCTACATGATGACTAGACTGTAGCCATGATGTAAGCTGCCGCAATTTGAGAACTGGCCTCAAATAAGTGTGAACAAACCGATCCTGAAACTAGAGACTAACTACTTAAAAGCATCAAGATGACACCAGTCATCACTGCATGACTAATTTTGAGATGACTGTCAGAGCTGACTCTGCTATTTCTGCACATAGCCCTTCCCACCGTTCATAAAAGCTCTTGCCCACTGGTTGTCAGTAGAGGGAGGCAGCCTTTGGACAAGGAGTCTGCCTTGAGCACATCCCACAGATCACAGTCTAGGACAGAAGTCAGCAAACTACATATCCGGCCCACTACTTGCATTTTTAAATAAAGTTTTATTGGCAAACAGCCACATTCGTTCAGTTACATGTTGCTACAGTTGCTTTCACACTACAATGGTAGAGTTAATTTCAACCAAGACTAAATGGCCTGTCAGACTAAAATATCATTTGATTCTTTCCAGAAAGTTTGCCAATCCCTGGTCTAGGGTGTTGATAAATAAACTTGTCATGGCTTTGCAATGGGCAATGCTCATTTGTATAGTCTTTTGTTTTTTGGATAGTCTTATTTTTTGAAGTGTCCCCTTCCTTCCCCTGATAAAAATGTAAATCTCATGAAACCCACCTCAATTTTATCTGAAGCTGGATGCTGATTGAGGATGAGTTGGTCACTTTCTTGTTTAAGCTTATTGAGTTCTTTCTCCTTAACTTCCAGCTGACTCATGCGTATCTGCGAATGAAAGAAGAGCAAATCCTTTAGAGCAAGTCACCGGCAGCTTCCCACCCCTCCCACCGTCCTCAGAGGAATCAAATACAAAACTGCATCTTGGAAATGAACAATGCCAGAGAACTGCGTGATGTGTTCCTCAAGAAGCGTAGCATTGTTAAGACCAGAAAGGACGCCTGAGATCCAGTATGTGTCTGAGGCCAGGCCGGTGACACATCTCCAAATTCACACAGGTGATGTGACAGTCACAACACACACTTGTGGTCCAGTCCCTAGGTCGTGTCCAGGTCTCTGTGACCCCATGGACTGTAGCCCGCCAGGCTCCTCTGTTTATGGGATTCTCCAGGCAAGGGTACTGGAGTGGGTTGCCATTTCCTTCTCCAGGGGACCTTCCCGACCCAGGGATCGAACCCCGGTCTCCTGCTTTGCAGGCAGATTCTTTGCCACTGAGCCACCTGGGAAGCCCCCAACACATACTGAGACTGTGTACTTCTCAGGTCTAAGCCACCACATTCTCGGGGCACACTTCGGGATACCGGACTGAACTAGCTCACTCCTCTGTCTACTGTCTTCTGAGATGCTAAGCACCGCACTGCCCGCCTTAAGTCACTGGAAAGCTTTCAGAAAGAAAGGGTTTTTCATGGTCTCTCCACCGAGGCTGAACGACAGGTGGCCGATTAAATGACGACAAACGCGTCCATCGCCACCCCGCGACTCCCGGGGGCTCACCGAGAAGGCCTCCTGCTTCTGAGCGATGTTGGTGTTCCTGTCGCTCCAGTCATAGAGCAGCTCCTCCTCCTCACAGTCGTTGATCCACATGATCTCGCGGGACGTGGCCTGGATGATGTTCTGCAGCTGCCGCAGGTGGTCCATCCTCTCGAAAGATGCTTTCTGCACAGGACAGTCAGAGCAGCGTTAGGACAACAAGATGCAGATGAATGGAGCTCCCTGAAGGTTTCACAGATAAACCCTGGCTGGTTCCTTTTACAACAAAAATCCCAAGAATCAGTCAAATGTTAATCTCTTGCATCCAGTGATCAGCTGGGAGGTGGAAAGGACCCACCCACACTTAGGAACAAGGGGACAATTTTAGATTCAATCAACTAGCTTGATCCAGATGGGTCTCGATTCATACACTGATGTTTGGCTTCACTAATTAGTTTTGGACTATAAAGAGAAAACAGATTCTTAAAAAGATAAATCAAGCTCTTTCTGCCCTCTCCAGTGTCCCGGAAATTCAAGGTGTCATCACCTTGGAAAATAGCTGTGTCGCCACTAGCCATGTTATTTAACTAGTATCATTGCCAACAGGGAAACACTGGAAAAGTGAAGACAGGATGATACAAAAATAGGCAGAAGAACAGAAATATCTCTTTTTACGAGTCAAGGAATTGATTCAGCTTGTCATAAAATGGTAATGATGGTCTGGTAAACCTCTCTCTAAAGAAAACAAGTCTTATTTTTGCTTACATTTTATAAAAAGGCTGCAGTTCACAAGTGGAAAAGCTTCATGGCTTTAACTGGAAGTGTTTAACAAGGGCTATTGACGGGACCCTTCAACTTGCAAATAGAATAGCCTTAAGTACTGTCTTTAGAAAAAAATATTTTAAAACTCCCTTGTAAAGAAAACACAGCAGCAGAAATGAAATTGGCATCTGCAAGTCCCTCATATACTTCCAGGTACTTTCAGAGTCTTTAGGGATAGCGCCAAGCAGGTGTTTTAATCCCCAGGTCCACATTTATGAAACCGAACTGCACCGAACACAGAGCTGTCAGAAATAAGTCGTCTTACCAGTAGGTTTTCATACTCCTCCTCCAACTGGTAGATTGCAGATTTCTCCCGCTAGAAGAAGACCAACAACAAGTTAATTATTTAATTCCCCCTGAGAGTTTACATAGAAAGAACAGCCCTTCTAAACCTCCTTCTGTCAAACACATACTAACTTCTGATTCCCCAGTAGCAAGAAGTAGCTGCTCTATGGAAACTTTTACCCACAGGGACCTTTCCCAGTCGGTCTGGAGGCAAAGTCCACTGGCCTGGTGGTGGCACCTCTACAAAGTTAAGGGCTCATCACTGTCACTTACAGACTCGCTGTTACACAAACTTTTAAAAGTTTGAAAATATCATTTAGTACTCCTCAGAACTTAGAGAAAAGAGGGAGAGACCTGATCAGATACTCAGGTAGACGAGAGTAGGTTAAAACAAACAAAAAAAAAGCGTGGAAGAAGTAAGGATGAGCATCTCGGGCTACGAACAAAAGTCAGTGATGTAAATGGTACAAATGAACTTATCAATGAAGTAGAAACAGACTCTATATAGACAACAGACTGCGGCTGCCAGCAGGGAGTGGGGTCGGGGGGTGGACTGAGGGTTTCGATCAGCAGACATAAACTAGTATATACAGGATGGATAGACAAGTTCCTACTGTATAGCACAGGGAACTGTGTTCAATATCCTGTGATAAATCATCGTGGAAAAGAATGTGAAAAATAATGTACACATGTGTAACTGAATCACTTTGCTGCACAGCAGACATTAACCACAACATCGCAAATCAACTACACTTCAATATTCAAAACAATGCCCAACGGCCAAGATAAAAAAAAAAAATCCCAAGCCAACCGGGAAAAAAACACAAAACCAAGGTTGAACCCAAAACGCCCGAGGGGGGGGAAACAAAACAACCCCAACAAAACAATGGAAACCCCCAATAAGGCAGAGCTCCGAAGTACCAGGTCGGCTTTGATCTTGTCCAGCTGCCAGCGGTAGTCCCCGATGGCGTTGTGGATGCTCCTGTGGCTGCTGATGTGCTGCTCCACCGAGGCCAGGTCCACGCCCCAGGTCATCATGTCCATCTCCGCCTGCCACGGGAGACACAGGGGGCCCTTCATTTCCGATTCCCTCATCTACAGCACCCCCAGCGGCCAGGTGGCCACGGGGTGTGTGAAGCTTGCACTCAGATACAAATGAAGCTGTAAATAATCAATATTTTTGAAACCAAAAAATAAAAAAGTTTGTAAAGGCTTGGGAATCCCAAACAGCTCACGGGGATTGCCCAATACAGTAAAAGTTGGGGGTTCCCTCAACTTATCTGCCCCCATCTCAAGATGGGCTGAGCAGAGACAATTCTGTAAGGAGATCCTTGAAACCTAGACCATATGCTCTGAAGGAAAAAAAAAAAAAAATCTACCTGTGCACGTCCAAGTGACCTATGTATATATACAGCTGTGAGTGCAGATCTATGTATGACACAATGTGATAAGATACTGACAGAGGTTTGTATATTCAGTTGTTTTTAAATGTGCATCAAAAATAGTTCATTAAGCTCAATCAAGTACTACTTCCCAAGCTCAACAGTTGACCTAAGACAATTTTTCATTGTTTATTTCTTTAACTTGTTTTGAATAATGCAGTTGTTGACTCTTTAAATCCAGAATTTAGCACTGCCTTTGGGTTGCAAAACTCTCCCTGGCCCATTTCAAAGAGAAGTGACAATATATATCCAACACCTTCAGTTCAATGAATATTGGCGATATTAAGATTATGGATTTATGTTAGCTTTCTAAAAATTAAACCTAACTTTCTAATTTGCATCCCCATTACTTCAATTTAAGAGTGCCAAATAATAAGAATCAAACATATTATTTCACAAGCTGCACACTGGGGCGAGTCTACTATCATCTCATCTTTCTTTGGCATGAGCTCATGTAAATTGCCAAATCTCTCGGACATGGGGAGGGCAAACATTCCAGAACGGTACTGCTGCAGGAACAACACACGCTGTTCTGAGCCACATCCGTGTTCTCATGTAGTTGACGAGCCTTCAGAAAAGGCAGCCCACCAGACAACTGTAAGTCACCCAGGATTCTGACCTTTCCCTCCCCGGGCTCCCTTCAACTTGAAAGCAAAAACAAGTGAGTGTACCAGGAAGTTAATGAAATGACCGACCCCGCCTTCATCACCAGCCAGGTGTGCAATATCTGCCCTGTTCATCAGCAGAAACACAAATCAGGGAAGCAAGACCGTGGCCCGGGAGTTGTGTGACTGTGTGCCGATTGTGCTGCTGGAGACACCTCTCACTTATCAGCCGGCCCTGCGGCTCAGTCCCCCGGGAGTCACAGGAAGAATGCAGGCGTGGAGGAAGCAGGGACAAGAGGAACGGGCCGGAGAACCTCAGGGCAAACCGGCAGTAAGGGATAAAACAGCTCGCAGTTCCTTTGAAACCCTCATCAATTGCATCTATTAGAAGATGCCCCCCTCCTCACCAGAATGGAAAATTGAGTCCATGTGATAATGCTATTTTCCAAAATTTGAAAATGTTGAGCCTTGGGGCTTCCCTGGTGTTTCAGTGGTAAAGAATTTGCCAGCCCCTGGGTTGGGAATATTCCCCAGAGAAGGAAATGGCAACCTACTCCAGTATTCTTGCCTGGGAAATCCCATGGACAGAGGAGTCTGTCAGATTACAGTCCATGGGGTCACAAAGAGTCGGACACGAGTTATCGACTAAACAAAAATGTTGAGCCTTGGCCTACTTTTAAACTATTGTTTTAGCTTGAATATTTTATACTGAACTTGTCTAGAGGATACCATGCTAAGTCACTAAAAAATTTATTGTACTGTAAGGAGAGTGTAGACATTTTGTTAATCAAAATGCTATGTTTACAGATTAAAAAAAAAAAAAAGTTGAGCCTTTGCTACAAAAGATTCTCACAAAGCTACACCCAACATGAGTTCAGAAAGTGACGAAGTATGAGCTGTCATTTTATAGAACTGTCATAGTGACTAAGAAGAAATGAGAGGGTCTGCCGTTTTAGAAGTCATCTGGTTCAAAGGTTGTTTCACCTAATGTCACTGATCCTCCCGACACAGTCCAGGCTCCAGGAGCTCTGCCCAGCCTTCTCTGCTGGCTCCATCCCATAGGGACGGGCGTGCCCACCCCCCTCCCCAGTCCTATCTGAGCATGGTTTTATTACAGCTCAAACCCAGCTATCAACCCCACACTGCTCTGCATAGAAATGTGGCACTTGGGTATATATATACATATATCTTTTTTTTCTTCAATAATCTCCCCGTTCAGGGTTATGGGACACAACTTTGGAACCCTCATTTTCTGGAATGGAATCAACACATACAACAACACACGTCAGAAATGTGTGTTCAAAGATTTAAAGGGAGTTGGGAAACCTGCAGATAGGTTTATATTTACGTTTCTGGAATTACAACTTTGCTCTTCTATAAGCCCCACCTTCTTGTAAGAGTGTTACAAAGTCTTTGTAAGACATGGGAGAAAAGGTTAACTGAATGAATGAATGACTGTTTAGTCCCATAAGCCCTCACACTTGCAAAAGAACACCCACAAAATAGATTGAGAAACGACAGAACCACTGCCAGACTGGTCCAAGAACAAGTCATAAAACCACTCTTTCTGACAACCGCGATCACCCCTCTGCACTACCGATCGTTCTAACACGCCCACCTTCTCAAGAGAAGGACGGTTCATCAGGATTGGTTCTCACTATAAAATTCCCATCTACATGATGATGGCACATTCCTCCTGCCACCTGTTCATTACAGCCCCTAATTACTACATAAAACAACAAAACAATCATTAGCGATGAAAAATCCTTTGTAGAAACTCCAGTTCTTGGGGCTCAGCACATCGGGTGCCAGGATCTCACTTCGCTCCCACATCAGTGATGTCACGCTTGCCCAAGACGCCTGACACTTCAAAAATACAAGGTGAAACAACCCATGAGCCCAAACCGGAAGACCCAGTTTCCCTGCCTGGCAGCTCCTCCAATTACTTGCCATTTTATTTTTTTTTTTTTGCTTGCCATTTTAAATGAACCTCCACAACGTTCTCCTTCTTTCTCTCAGGACCTCTGGGTAACACCTGATGAGCTCAGGGAATGAAGTGTTTTTAGCCCATAAACTCCCATAACAGATGTTCCGGCAAGACCTAGATTTTCACAATGTAGCAATTCAATCATACCTGTTAAATATTACTCGAGTGATAAAGTATGGCTGTAAAGCCATGAGGCTGGTTCCCTAAGCCACTTGAGGAAGGAGGAAAAAAAAAATCCCTGGAGTTTCATCTCTTTCTAAATAAAAGCCGTCATTCCAAAATAAAAGCCGGTGAGAGAAGGGGCCGGACGCCGGGCGGCGCCCCCCTCCCGCCGGAAGCCGCTTACCCTCTGCTGCCTCATCCACCCCAGGCACTCGCTGGTGAGGCGCTTGGTGAACTCGTCCCAGCCGGAGCCGCTGTGGCAGGTGTACCCTCCGCCGCCCTTGGAGCTGGCCCGGCGGACGCGGGGCGCGCTGATGGCTTTGTACAGGGCTCGCATCTGCTCCTGAAGCTGCAGCAGCCTGAGAGGAGAGGGCCCGTCACAGCGCCGCAGGAAGACAGCCCGAGCCCGGCCCGGCAAGCGGCGCCTCTGGGGCCCACGCACGCTCTTTCCCTACGACTTCCTCTTTCTTTATGATTTTATCTCTTTCGTCTGCGCTGGGTCTGCACGGCTGCAGGGGCTTTTCTCTCGTGGCAGAGAGTGAGGGCTACCCTTCGTGGCAACGCGGGGGCTTCTCACAGGCTCTAGGGCGCCGGGCAGGCTTCACTAGCGGCAGCTCCCAGCTCCTGGGCACAGGCTCAGGAGAATCAGCACGGGCTTAGCTGCTCTGAGACATGTGGGATCTTCCCGCCTCAAACCCTCATCTCCTGCACTGGAAGGTGGATTCTCTGAGCCACCAAGGAAGCCCACAAATAGTTTATTTATAGGCTTTTAAAAATATATATATACCTTAGTCACAGACAAAACCTTACGTATTCCGCTGCTCCAAGCCTGAAGCATCACAGTAAGGGTAACTGCCTTTGCCCAACCTGCTAGCATCTTTTACTTTCTCACGAGTTCCAGCCCGGGGATCTCCTAGGACCCCACGCACTGAATACCATGATCACAAAAAATCAGACTACACACCTCTGCAGTCAACGGCATCTTCAACTCTATGAGTCTCATTGCTCTATGCAATAAACTTAGCTGGACTCTGTTTTATTCATTCTTTTAAAAACATTTATTCACTTGGCTGCAGCAGGTCTCAGCTGCAGCACGCAGGATCTTCGATCTTCATTGCGGGGTGAACTCTTACTTGGGGCACGTGGACCCTAGTTCCCTGACCAGGGATGCCACCCAGGCCCCCAGCAGTGGGAGCGCCCAATCTTAGCTGCTGGGACACCAGGGAAGTCCTCAACTTAATCTCAGACTCAAAAGTCAGCAACCGCTCAAAGGCTTTTGTTGCCCCCTAAGTGGAAGCACAGTGAACATCTCACAGCAAACTCGACTCTTCAAAAGGAGCACACCTCCTGGGCAGGTCTGTTTAATTCACTGCTCGGCAGCTTCGTGATTCCACAAAAGATGAAGGTAGTGGGTTTAGGTGATTTGTATTAGAGACCCAAAAAAGGGGTGAAGTTATCAAGCAAGGGAGCCTTTCCCGGAGAACGTCTGTGCTTCCCTCAAGGGAAGACCTGGGTCAGGGGACTGAGCGCAACTCCTGCAGGTCTGCAGGCCTGTCTGCGCCACGCTCACTCTGCGGACAATACCTTTTCTTTCTCTCTTCTTAAAAAATGTCTGTTTGGCTTCGCTGTGTCTTAGCTGGCACTCGGTTGTGGCATTCAGGATGTTTTTAGTCACCACGTGTGGGACATTTAGTTGCAGCACGTGGGATCTAGTTCCCTGACCAGGGATCGAACCTGGGCCCCCTGCATTGGCAGCAGGGGGAGGCTTAGCCACTGGACCGCCAGGGAAGTCCCCACAGTACCTTTTCTGATAAGCATCACAGGGCTGGCCCATCTGCCGCATCTCTCTGATCAAGCTATCGGTAATTTCCATCTGATCGTTGGCCTGGGCGAAACACTCGTCCAGCTCCCTGCTCCGGGCCAGCTGAATTCCATCTCCATACTTCAGTTCCTGCAAGAAAGAAGTCATATGACGGGAGCACACAATACTGGAAAGAAAAGCTACATGTGTGTTAACTGGAAGTGAAAGTTTCTGCTATAAACTTAAATAAGTACCCCCTCATTCCATGTAACTGCAAAAAAACCTTCAATTGAAAATTATCTTATTAATTTGAAGAAACTGTCTGCAATGCAGGAGACCTGGGTTCAATCCCTGGGTCGGGAAGATCCTCTGGAGAAGGGAATGGCTACCTACTCTTCTTGCCTGGGGAATTCCATGGAGAGAGGAGCCTGGCAGGCTACAGTCCATGTGGTCAAAAACAGTTAGACACAACTAAGGGACTTTCATTGTCACAAACCAAAATTGTAGACTGTATTTTAAAGTCTGAGAGGCCTTTAAAAGCACATCCAAAGATTGCTAATCTCGCCCTTGCTTCAGTGTTAAATGCCTATCTTTCTTATTTACACAAGACATTCATCTAACTGGAATTCTGCTGTGCTGAGAGTCCTGTACCATTATGCCAGATAAGATCTTTCTTTTTTAACACACAAACTGAGTTTTTCCTGCATCTTGTGGGAAATAACTTTTCAGTTCTTAGAAAGCTATCTGGTTGGTTGTATTGAACTAGTGACTTTTCTGTTTTTTGATGACGAGTGATACTTAGTGAAACGCTACTTTTGGAGGGAGCTGAGTGATGGGCGCTCAGATAAAATCACGGATCTCTTGACTGCTACACCTGATTCAGTGAGATCCGACCCTATCTCAGTAACGTCAAGGAGCATGAGGCCTTCACCAATGTTACCATCGCCCCTCAATTTTTAATTGCTCATTTTCCCATACTGTGTAATGTTTCTCCTGTAGAACTGTTTTCACAAGATGGTAAACTTTCCTGAAAAAATGACATTAAATTGATGGTGTACATCACAATCCATGACAACCCAGTGACATAAACACATCAGGGTGCATCTCTAGGAAGAGAAAGTGTTACCAAATCACACAAATGACCACAGGTGATCGCAATCCCAAAAGGGTGGCAATCCACAGACTACAAATTTGTTGGGAAAACAGTGTGACCCATGGTTAAATCAACACCGCAGGTAGCTGGGGAAGTCTGTTCTGAGACAAAGCATTGCTACATGCTAAGGATGTGAAGGAGGTGAGGGATGAGACTGCAGAGGTCTACGCGTCCATGTCAGCACGAGCAAGCCCAGGGACGGCTCTGAGCGGGGAATGGAGCTTACGGGCTGCACGATGAGCTCCGCCCTCATCAGGCAGTCGGAGCAGTTCTGCAGGAGCTCCTGGATCGTGTTCTGGTTCTGGTGCCTGGACATCGTTCCCGTTTGACTGCAGAGAAATCACAGAGAAGGCAGGTGGTAAAGGTTTTTCTTTTCCATCTTGAAAGACTGTAAACTTGCAGAAAAGATGCAAAAACGCTTCACCCAGGTCTCCCAGTTGTTCACACGGGCTGGGTCTCTGGGTCCCGTATGCTGTTCCAGGAGATGCAGGTGTGATCCCTGGGTCAGGAAGATCCCCTGGCAACCCACTCCAGTATTCTTGCCTGGGGAATTCCACGGACAGAGGAACCTGGTGGGCTACGGTCCATGGAGTTGCAAAAGAGCTGGACACAACTGAATGACTAAACAACAAATGATACATGTTTCTGAGCCATTTGAGAACCATCATGCTCCTTTATCCCAAAAGGTTTCAGCACGTTTTTCCTAAGAATAAAGGCATTCAAATATATAACCACAGCAGAATCATCAAAATCAGGACATTTAAAACTGACGGGACACCATTTTCTAATCTACAGAACATTTTCAAATTGTACTAATTAGCCCAGTAATGTTCTGCACACCACTTTTTTTCCCCCACCCAGGCCTAAGATCTAATTGGGCTGCCTGGTGGCTCAGAACATAAAGAATCAGCCTGCAATGCGGCAGACCTAGGTTCAATCCCTGGGTCAGGAAGATCCCCTGGAGGAGGGCATGGCAACCCACTCCAGGACTCTTGCCTGGAGAAACTCCATGGACAGAGGAGCCTGCTGGGCTACAGTCCATGGGGTGGCAAAGAGCTGGACATGACTGAGCGACTAAGCACAGCACAAGATCTAATCTGGAGATAGTCTTTTGAGTCCTGGAAAAGCATTTCTAGCATCTTCTCTGTCACTCATCCCATGTCAATGCCACCAAAAGTCCCTCTGGAAAAGGGGGCTTCAGCCCAGAGCTGCAGGGCTTCCCTGACCAGTCTGTGAGGGCACTTGTAGGAGACGAAAGAAAAGCTTATTCTGCAAAAATATTTTCGGCAATCATAGAAAAAGACAATAATGGTAAAAAAAAGAAAAAATGGGGTGAAGAAAGTGATGGCAAGCTTAAGTATCTTTAATGCAAAAACAAGGCACTTTTCCTTTCAAGATGACTGTGGAATATTATCCTGTACGACGATGCTCAGCCACAAGCGTGTGGCATGTGCAGCACTTTACTGGAAGACAAGTGGCGGAAACCTTGAAACAAGGGTGGTGTTTAAGGAGAATGCTGTAGATATCCTACACTGTAAAAAATATTTTATTTGTTATTCATTTGTTTGGCCGTGTAAGGTCTTAATTGCACATGTGAATTCCTAGTTGCGGCCTTCCCAGACAGGCATTGAACCTCCACCCCCTGCATTGGGAGCCCAGTCTTAGCCACTGGACCACAAAGGAAGTCCCAGATATTCTATATTTTAAAGAAAGAAATTAAAGAAATTCAGTCTGTTCCAGATATCCATTAAAAGAGTCATCTATAATAAACCAAGTCTTATTTTAATTTGCCCAGATACCTTATGCCACAGCACAGCCCACTACGGCTTAGCTTAAGAGAGATTTAAAGCCCACTAAATTCTTACTGTTCAGGAAAGACTTTCTGAGTGTCCTACAAGAAACCTGAGCTCCTCCCAGCGTTCAAAGCCACCAGTCAGGCCAGCCCAAGCTTTCAGATAAAACTGACGCCGGCTCAATATACTAGACTTTCTTTTATGTGTGTCTGTGTCGGAAAGGGTGTCTGTGCATTTTAAAGGAAGAATTTCACCATTTTAAAAAAAAAAACCTTTGAAAAGCACAGGCTGTACTAGGCAGAGATGGGGTAAGGTCACAAGAATGTGGGATGCTCCCCCTCCGTTCCTGATTCTGCCTCATCTCACATCCAAGAGGCACTTTCTCTCACTGCCACCCGTTGGCAGCCCATCCCTGTCAGCCGGGCTCCCGACATGCCAGCACCCGCTGAGAGTGCGTGGGTGAGAAACCAGCTCCCCTGGGAACCGGTGCCAGGTGGGGCCAGGGCTGCTCCAGGCAGGCTGGGCACCGCCCACCCAACAAAAGCAGGGCACCCCACCCTCCCCGCATGAATGCCGCCCTTCTCCGCCTCCCACTCAGAATCAGGCAGGAAACCTGGCACACCTCTGGGATTGCTGAGATATAAACAGGACTCCATCCCTTGTCAAAACCTGTGCAAATTCCAATTGACTTAGAACACTTTCCAAAAGGCACCTATTGTAGTAGGGAGGAAAGAGCTTCAGCAGACAAAGAGAAACATTAAGAAGCACAGAAACGTCACTGAGAGACGGAGGATGGGTAGGCAATTAGGGAGGTCCTGTGAATTACATTTGTTTTCCCAGCTGAAGAGGCATGAGAGGACCTTTCTTCTGAAACATTGGGTCATTCTGATCTAGGCCTGGGTTCAGAGGGTGATTCCCACAAAGAATGCCAATCCCTCCCACACAGACAGGGCGCTCTCAGCGCAGTGCAAAGTCAGAGTTTCTTCAATGACTTAATAATGTGTGCGACTATAAAAACTAGCACAGTGAGCTCCTAGGCAGGTGCCGATGGGGACGCTGGGTGAGGGAAGGGCTTGGCCAAAATGTTCGCTTGGGTTTTTCCATATCGTAAAAAATTAAAATATTAAACATTAAAAAAATAAAAAAGAAGCAGAGAGGCCAAACTTGTGAATGAAGGTCTCTAAGTGTATATGCAAATCTTTTTCGGCCTTGCCTCGGGGCACGTGAGATCTTAGTTCTGGGACCGAGGATCGAAATCATGCCCCTTGCAGCGTAGGCACTGAGTCCTAACCACTGGGCCGCCAGGCAAGTCCCTATAAGGTCTTTTTAAAGTGACTTTATGCCACTAGATTCCTTTGACAACAAAATAAACTCATCAGCTCTCTTACTCAACTACTAGAGCAGTTAGTTACACGACATTTAGAGGAAAAGCAATTAAATGTTGGTTTAAAATATTGTGAACTTGCACTTAAAAAAAACAGTAACTCCATAGTCTATTAATAATACTAAAAAGAATTCTTCATGTTTTACTAAAAGACATGCTTATGTTCACTATACACACCCTTGACAGCCGCTAAAACCCTCTGTGTTTGCCTTGGCAGGTCAGGGAATAGATTAACAGCTGTCGTGCACAAAAATCTAATCTCTTTAAAAGTATAAAAAAGAAAAATGAAAAGCTAAACTGTAAGCACAGTGTAATGAAGAGCCTTTGGTACTGGGACTGGTCTATAGGAAAGTATGATCTGATGAAGCAAATCTTCTCTTAGACACACCCTGTCAAGACTGGTCCTTAAAGCAAGACTTACAGATCCCGTCTGTCTTCTGTAAAATCTCACTTCAGTCGGAACAGCCTTGGGAAACACCATCAAAATGAGAGGGGATGAAGGGAGACCCAGGCCCCCTGAGGTTTACTGGTGAGGAAAGAGAATCCACCTTCACATTTCAGCCGTCCTGTTTCCGCCCAGTGAGGGACCCACACAGAGCTGGCTGTACTTAAATCTAGGAGGCTGTGTCTGCTCAGAGGATTCTGACTCACCAGACACCCAGATGCTTCTCAAGGCTGGACCCTTAAGCAGAGGAGCCAGGAGAGCTTGCTTCAGGGCACACCGCTGCTTTTTGTCATTCAAAATTTTTTAAGTCAAAAACATATTTTTTCACATAATTTTAGATCTTTTTTAGTTAATATCTGAAATGTTTTAGATCTCAGTTAATTCATCTGTTAGGCTAGATTCTATCTAAAATTTCCTTAGCTCATTTGTTCTTTAACTTTATTTTATGAAGCCAACAAATGCACTACTCCTATTGAAAATAATTCAGAAGTCTATGTTCTGTTTAAAGATAATAAAGTTTCCTCTTCATATAGTGCATTTTGGGAAAATGCGAAATTCCATCAGACAGGAAGAAATCACCTTTAAGTAAATACTTATTTAACAAGCACATAAGGACTTTACAAATCCCTAGCCTCAAAGAAATTTTCAGAACCAGTACAAACTGGTGTTAGGGGTGCAGAGATTTTAAACCATATTAGGAATTGAACTAAAGACATCAAAGTTCAATTTTTAAGTTTTATTTTAGTGACATGGAGGATGAAGGATGTCATGCAAAAAAAAGAAAGAAAGAAAGAAAAAAAAGAAACTCATCTGGGTCAAATCAATAAAAAAATAATTTTGACCAAAATTAACAGCTTGTCTTGAAAAAATAACATGTGTCCTTAAAAGTTTTTAACATCTCTGAAATCCTTTTTATCTTCAAACTCACAAAGACAAATGATTCATACAACAAAGGGCCTGCCTACACTTTTTTGGAAAATCCTTCCTAAAACTTGTTTAAACAAGTAAAGGTTGCAGCAGGTTTACATAAAGCTCCCTTCATCAGAGGCTAAATGGAAAACATGGTCAGGATTTTTATCCAAGTGGGCCACATGAAAGCATAACCGGTATTATAGAGCTGTTTTATTTTACTACCTACAAATAACAGTCATTTCTTTAAAAAAAAAAAAAAGATTCCAAAATTAACTGTGAAGTCATTAGTTTAGCACTTTTCCCAAGATTATAGGAAAAAAATACGAGAAAAATATTTTGAAAAGGGGCGTGCAACATTACAAGATTAAGACCTTTTTTTGATACTTTGTTTTATAAAAGTCTTTTACAGCCTTTCATGCTGTTCATTAGACACTTGACCGGAGCCCCCGCTCTGTATTTCTTCTTGTGTGTATATTTTCTCTCCCATTTGGTTCCTTCTTTCGTTTCTTCCTTCTTTGCTCGGTCTCTTCTCTGTCTCTCTCTCCTTTTTATTCATTCCACCAACACAGGACCCCGGCCATGTGCCAGAAACAATGTCTTATGTGTATTCAGATTCACAGAATAGTGACCTTGGAAAAACTCAATAAATATTTGATGGAAATTATGATGATTACGTAATGCTCTTGAAACTTACTTTCATTAACATGGACTTAAAGTCTATTTGCTTAGCTCCTTACAAGGTTCAAAACACGTTCCATACATTACCTTATTTGAGTTTCTTTAAAAGAGCTTAACTAAAAAGAAAAACATCCATGGAGGTTGT